TCATTTCTGTAATAAATATGGCTGTCAAGCCAGGATCTTGATGGTTTATTGTGGGTATGTTGTTTACATGAAGAAATCTGTGTTACAAGTAAACAAAAATTAAAAAAATTGATTATATTTTGAATTTAAATAGTATTTGTCTTGCGTTTACATTAATTTTACACTCGAATAGCCAACATTACAAGTTTCAGTTTTTAAATGCGATTAATCGCAATTCATTTTTTTTAAGTGCGATTAATTAGTTAATTTTTTTAATCGATTGACAGCGCTAATATATATATATATATATATATATATATATATATATATATCCAGTAATAATGCTGGTAAATTGCAACAATTTATATAACACAGCAATGGGCATTAATCAAACTGACATGAAAATCTTTGAATATGCTATCAGCTTCCTCTTCCTCAGACATGAGCATCCTCAACCTTTACCACGGTGAATGGAGACCCACTGAGAAGCAAAGCATAGGTGATATACTGAGCCAAAGAGCAATGGATCTTTCCCCCAGATAGCAAAGGACAAATGGCTTTCATTAAAGCCTCGCATAACCCACGCCCTGGCTGATGCCTACCTCTTAAAAAAAAAAAAAGTAAAGCTTTTTTTAAAGTCGCAAGCTCTGTGATTGGTCGGCTTGGTAGCTGTGACCAGTGTGAATTGAGACTTGCACAAACCCATTGGAGCGAGTGTAGAGTCTCATGTAGGAGCTCTAGATGGATATTGTTGTTTTGCATCTACCTTATGATTAATGTCATTGCCCGTCCACCAGCTCCCGCCTCTAAATGAGCGAGTTTTACCTACTTGTACTTTAAGGTAGTTTTCAGAAAAAACAAAACACCTGTTAAGAAACTCGACTAGGATTGGGTACCGAATCCCAGTGCCATTATAGCACCAGTACCTATGTACTCAGTACAACACATTCGGTGAGCGAGAGAGACTCTCTTCAGATCATGTTCATCAAAATTGGTTATACTAAACTTTTTAAAAGTGTATTTTACAAGCAAGGATTCTGACACAGCAACGTGAAGCAGATGCTTTACAGAAATTGCGTGTAAGGGGGAAACACGTCAAACTTAATGACACATTTAAGGGCAAGGAAACAACTTAAAGGCGGAGAAATGCGCTGTCTCGGAAAGCTTGCCTCATCATCTGCCAATTTCAATGAGTACATACATGGACACCAATGCTCCGATTTTGAAATGATTAGGATAATACTCTGATTAAGAGTCTAGACTACCGTGTAAACAGTGATTTTTGATTACCTTAGAGGACCACAGACACCTGCCTCGCAAAATGCAGAGGTTTTTACTTACCATTTAACATTTCTTGTCGGCTTAGTCCCTTTATTAATCTGGGGTCGCCACAGCGGAATGAACCGCCAACTCGTCTAGCAAGTTTTTACGCAGCGGTTGCCCTTCCAGCCGCAACCCATCTCTGGGAAATATCCACACACATTCATACACACTCATACACTACGGACAATTTAGCCTACCCAATTCACCTGTACCGCATGTCTTTGAACTGAGGGGGAAACAGGAGCACCCGGAGGAAACCCATGCGAAGGCAGGGAGAACATGCAAACTCCACACAGAAACGCCAACTGAGCCGAGGTTCGACCCAGCGACCTTCTTGCTGTGAGGCGACAGCACTGCCTAATGCACCACTGCCTCGCCCACCATTTAACATGCGGTATCAATTCCATTGAAAGAGCAGTCTTCCACCAGTCCTTACTTAATGATCGCAACAAATACCTCAGTTTGTCATGGGCGCATGAATGAAAGTGAAACTGCAGTGAAAGTAGAAAAATGAAACACCTGAAATTACATGAAACTGGAGGAAACATGGATAGCGTGGTGACACAATGACGCTAATGGATCTATGTAGTATTACATGTAAGACAGGATCATGAAAGGAACATTTAAAAGCAGTCTTATTCAGATTAAGGCAAGTCACTAGATTACTGATAACCATGTAAACATAGGCACAAGCCCCAACCCTAGAAAAAAGGAGTTCAGTATTTTGATGACAGCACTTCCGCAGGTAATTAGTAAGCTAATGTAATTTCATAACGCTAATCTTAAATTCATGCTAACCAACAAATTATCAAAGGAAATATATTAATGCAATTTAAATATATTAAATATGAATTGATTTTTATTTTAAAATTTAATTGTATTGTTCTATTACATTTATTTTTTTAAGATTTTGTCAAATGAAAGATTTTTCTAGAGTCATCCACCATCATTTTGTGGCTCAAAAGTATCAGTTCAGGCACCGGTCCCATTTTAAAAGTATCGATTTAGCACCCGTATCGAAATAACCCCATCTGAGGCCCAACCCTAAACTAGACACAGAGGAACATTAAAGCCCACTGCATGCTAGCGTTTCGGAAGTGTTATTGCAGAGCAACACAAACAGCACACAGAAGTATAAATGCATGACTACTTGCAAGGCAGGCACCGTGGGTCATGCCGATCACTCGATGCAGAAATATAAACTAGCCTTCTAGAGTTCTCTGGGATGTACTCTAGGCACATGATTGTCCGTCTACCAGTTGTTCCAGTCCCCTGAGAACATTTCTCATCTTCAAAACACAAATGAAGACACTTTAGAAAAAGATCCTGAGATGCTCAAAGTCCAGAAAATAAACCAAAAAAATTGTCCAAACAGTTCTTGTGACTTCAGCGGTTCAATTGTAATCGAGTCCCAAGAACGCTTTGTGTGCTGTTGGACCATAGTGGCTGTTTTTTTGCCGCTGTATTCTTCAGTATATCTTCATTTGCATTCAGCAGAAGAAACTCAAACAGGTTTGGAACAAGTAGAGGATGAGTAGATGACAGAATTGTAATTTTAATGAGAACTACCCCTTTAATCCCTAGTAGCAAAGAATTCTGGCCCAGATTTGGCATAAAGCTGGCACAGCCGGCATTCATCCGGCACTGGCATACAGCATGTGGGCCAAACATGGCCCGGGTTTGGCAGAGGTGGCACCGTCTTTAAGGCGGCACATAAGATTTGGGCCAGATGAAAAACGTAGTATTTGGCCCAGATTTAAAAATTTGATATGTGGGCCATGTGAGTTTGGCCAGTCTTGACCCACATTTAAAATACACTAAAATCATTTTTGATTCAAAATTCTACCAATCAGGTCACTTTGATAAAAAGCATGCCCATTGTGTGCCTAAAGCGCATCACTCCATGGATTTATCAATTTCATTGCAATCGTGACACACCAACCTATCTGGCCCAGTTCAGGCCCAGTAATGAGTTATTAACTTGGCTGAGACTTGGCCCAGATATGGCCCGTGTTTGGCCCTTGTCTGGAAGCCAGATTTGGTCCAGTCATGTACCGTAATTCACTGCGGCATGTGGGCCAAGCAAAACCTGATTGTGTGGGCCAGAGCTGGGCCAAAGAAATTTTGCTATGTGGGATGCTTCTTAAGTAAAGGTGAGGTTAAATATTATTACTGAAGACATTGCTAAAAATGGCAGGAGACGTGAAACACAGATAAGAGACAACAATTCATATGAAAAAAAAAAACCTAGATAAGCTACGAAGTTGTAGAAATAGGAAAGAAGAGGTCATAATTACGAGGATGAGATTTGAACATTAATAGTAAGTGATGTGTTTTAGACGTGTAGCGGCTTTCCAATTGCTGCTATTGTTGGTAGAGCAAGCAAGTTTTGTACGACGCGTAAAGTCAGAGTCCGTAGGCAAATAGATGCAAATAAAAACGTCTTTATTTTCCAATCAACAGAATTACTTAATCACTTTCCTTAATCTATATGCACACTTCTCTGTTACCTTGAGTTGAGTTGAATTCTCGAGTTACGAGACGAGACGTTCAGTTATGATCAAAAACTGCGTGCATCCTACCAACACTGTCTTACTCCATGCAGTGAAGCCACAGTTATATAGTGTCGCACTGACACCTTGTGGCCAATCGCCAACATACAATGTATGGCTCCTACAAGACGGTTGTTGCTAGATCGGATATGGTTGCAGCCGAAATTAGTGATAATTATTTATATCATTTATTAAATGTCCTATTTATTGTATTTTATCAAGGTCTACACCCACCCCAACCCTAAACGCAACCGTCACAGCACTATAAACACTGTAGTTGTACCGAGTATTATTTAGGTTATCTACAAAATTAACCAATAAATTGTATTTTTTAACGCCTACCCCAACCCTAAGCCCAACCGTAACAGTACTGTAAAAATAATAATTATTGTTATACAGCGTCATTAAAAAATGCTGCTATATTAATGTGCATATCGCACTTTCAGCCAGCCGCAAATCCCATCTAGACTTTACCGTTTCAGACATGCAAGTCATCATAAAGGGGATAAAAAAGTTTCTCAAAATTGTCTTTAAAATGTTTAGATGGTTTTGATCACCTTCAAATACTGAATGTGTCTGTGTCAGAGCAGATATGTTGTGTAAAGTGGAAAACCAGAGAGAAATTTATTAATAAGTCATGACTACACAACGGCGACAATAAGTGGCAAAAACAGCTAAACAACAAAAAAAGACTTTTAATTTTTATTTTTATTGAAAATACAAAATCCAAATACAACAAAATGGGATTCAACTTTACAAATTGTGTGTCACATATGGAAGGCTCAACACAAAATGATATACAGGAATCCAAAAATATAAATGTAATTTACAAAAAACATTCAAGCTAAGATTAAAAAGGTGAATGGAAAACATACAAAGAAATCAATACAACATAGATATCAGCTATGGCAAGTTATATGCTACAAAAAAAATTAAGCATTTTTAAGGCAATTTTTGTTTTTTTTATTTTAGCCAGGGCATCTGAAAATATTTAAGTTCTTTTATAAATACAATGAGTAATGGAAGTGTTTTGAAATATCTGCATTTATGAATAAAATATTTGGCTAATACAATTATCATATTTATCAAATCGTGCAAAACAGAACAATCTTTAGTAATTCTATATAGTAAACAAAAAGAACTTTTATTTTGGCGTGGCGGTGTGACGTCATAACGATGCGCCACTCTTGTGCTGCGATTCTCACTTGTGATTCAACTAGAGAAAGGTTTGTTGTTTTAAAACTTTCGTGTATATAAAAACCGATTGATTAAAGTTTCAGGTAAATGTAATTTCAATGTTTCATTGAAATGTTTGACGCTAAATTCTGTCGTGGAAAATTTTATTTTACCTTTTATACAACGTCGTACTATATTTACTCACAGTAATGAGGGCTATTGTTTGGACAAAGTACCAGAAAAGTGTGTAATAAGTGTTTTAATAAAGGTTTAATTTATTAAATAGCATAATGTCGTTCCATTATATGTATAAATCACTATAAGAAATGGAATACTAGTTTTAATCAGGTTATATTGAGGTAATGTTGGTTTTATATTCACACAATCATTCATTTTAGAACAGTGAGAACTTGTGATGCACTACTTTGAATGTTTGGTTTTATATAGCATGTAAACATGACTGCAAAACAACATTAGCACTATTTATCTGACTGTGAACGTTGTTTTACTTTAAACATAGAGGTAAAGTTGGTTTTATATTTGGATATTCAGACATTTTCAGAATGTATTTTCAGAGAAGTATTCTTTGCAAATTCTAAATAGGAAAATCATATTAGCTGCAAATGACCATCAAAGTACAACATTGTTCACATTTAGATAGTGTTAATGTTGTTTTCAAGTCATACTTGCTCGCTAATTCCTATCGAATATTCAAAGTAACATGGTAAACAATATAGAGACTGCTAAATAAAGGAATGTTCAAATATAGAGCCAACTTTACCTCTATGTACTTTGATAGACATTTGCTGATGATGTGATTCCACTATTTATAATTTGCAAAGAAAACTTTTATGAAATTTTATTAAGAAGTTTAATGTGCAAATAAAAACTTAATTTAACCTAATTTCAGGTGATTTGTGGCAATTTTTTCTTGCTCAGACTTACTCTTTTACCTGATTTTCTATATTTTTTTGTTAATTTCATTAATGTTAAAGAGAAGTTATTTTATTTCTGTTCATTCTTGTATTTATTTAAAACAAAACGTTTATTGTTTTGTTCATTTTAAACAGGATAAAGTGTCCAAACGCAGAGAAAACTCCTGCTGAAGTAACTGATCTCCACACTGTTATAAAGATGGCGTCTATTAAAGTGGAGAGTGAAGACCTGAAGATTGAAGAAACATTCACAGTCAAACAAGAAGATCTGCAGGAACACACAGGTTGGTTTACATTCTCAAAGAACAACTCAGTCATTTAATCATTCAGCTATATTTCAATGATAAGAATATTTAATTAAATCCATCTTGCAGCCCTGAGTGTGCTGCCTAGTTCTCCTAAATGAGTTTGAGAAGATATCCGCTGTTATGACAATGATGTTGACTTGTTACTTGCCGTTAACATGTGTCATGTTAATAACAATTCCCATTTTTTAATCAACTTCTTTATGGGTTTAAACCTGAGCCAGTATTGGGCAAGTTATTTTAAAAAGTAGTTGTTACTACTTGTAGTTGTGCACAACTACAAGCATGATCGCGTCCATTAAATGTGCCTAAACTAAGCGTTCTGAAGTAGGGCTGTATTTCACAAGCAAGGATTCTGACACAGCAACGTGAAGCAGACGCTTTACAAAAGTTGTGTGTAGGGGGAAACATGTCAAACTTAATGAAACATTTGACGGCTCATGGAAGCAGCTTAAAGGCATAGAAAGGAGACTTCATCTGCCACTGTCCCTACAGTACATTTACATGGACACCAATACTCCGATTTTATGATTAAGATAATACAGATTAAGAGTCTATCATGTAAACAGCGATTTTTTTATTTTTTTTTTTATTTTTTTTTATTTATTTATTTTTTTGATTACCTTAAAGCAGGGGTGCTCAATCCTGTTCCTGGAGATCTACATTCCTGCAGATTCCAGTTGCTACCCATATCAAACACACCTGCCTGTAATTATCAAGTGGTGTTCAGGTCCTATTTAATTGGTTCAGGTGTGTTTGATATGGGTAGCAACTGAAATCTGCAGGAGGGTAGATCTCCAGGAACAGGATTGAGCACCCCTGCCTTAAAGGATCACCCAAGTCCTGAAAATGTTTCTTTCCGTTCGCCATGCGCTATCAAATTCCATTAAAACATCCTGAATGAAAATATGCTGAATGAGAGTGAACTGCTGACCTGCAGGTAAAGTCTAAATATTAAAAATTAAACACTCGAAATTGCGTGAAACTCTGGAGGAAATGCAGAAGAGCCTGGGGATGCGACATTAAATGTTTTTTACTGAAACTTTCCTTCTAAAAGCGCGTCCTTGGTCTTATCTAAATTTTTATGCACGTTAAACACATGCCGGGCCAGAGCAAGCTGAACTGGCGCTCTAGGCAAATGGCAAACATGCCGCAATCAACCCAAAAATAAAAAAGTGACCGGTTCGCGGATGAAAGTGAGGACTGGGGGGGTTCGCTCACTATTCTGCTGCCCAAGGCGGCCGCCTAGGTCGCATCTATGGATGCGCCAGCCCTGAACACACGTCATCCACATTCATTCATTTTCTTGTCGGCTTAGTCCCTTTATTAATACGGGGTCGCCACAGCGGAATGAACCGCCAACTTATCCAGCAAGTTTTTACGCAGCGGATGCCCTTCCAGCCACAACCCATCTCTGGGAAACATCCACACACACACACTCATACACTATGGACAATTTAGCCTACCTGATTCACCTGTACCGCATGTCTTTGGACTGTGGGGGAAACCGGAGCACCCGGAGGAAACCCACGCAAAGGCAGGGAGAACATGCAAACTCCACACAGAAACGCTAACTGAGCCAAGGTTCGAACCAGCGACCTTCTTGCTGTGTGGCGACAGCACTACCTACTGCGCCACTGCCTCGCCCATGTCATCCACAACAGGAGATAAAAAAACTAGCTGCTTTATTTATTTATTTTATTTATTTTACGGAATATTTCAAATTAATCACCTGCGTTAGCACGCTAATTTTGACAGACCTAATATATATTACTATTTGTTTTTGCCATGAATTTAGCCAATGCTGCTGATATGGCATTAAAACCTAAATAAATAATAAATATATGGTAAGGCTTTTTAAATTTTGGGGTTAAATATTCATTTCATGCTTGTCACATTCTGCCTTCATACTAAAGTTCACTTCTGTTTTTTTATTTTTCTTTTAGACCTGATGATGCTGAAAGAAGAGACTGATGAACTGAATGAAGCAAAAGAGAAACACCAAGGCATAACGACTGATGACAAACCCACACTGACCAAGAAGACTTCACGCGGAAGACCTCGGAAATCCAAATCTGAGTGTAACTTCACTTGTCGTCAATGCGGAAACGGTTTCAGTCGAAAACACAACCTTAAAGTCCACATGAGAATTCACACTGGAGAGAAACCTTACACCTGCGAACAGTGCGGGAAGAGTTTCTGTCAAAAGCCAAACCTTAAAATTCACATGAGAGTTCACACAGGGGAGAAACCGTACACCTGCGAACAGTGCGGAAAGAGTTTCACTAAAATTCCTGGCTTCAATGCCCACATGAGAATTCACACTGGAGAGAGGCCGTACACCTGCAAACATTGTGGGAAAGACTTCTATCATGCAGGAAACCTAGCAGTGCACATGAGACTTCACACTGGGGAGAAGCCTTACTCTTGCCGTCAGTGTGGCAAGAGTTTTAAGCAAAAGAGCAACCTTGAAGTCCACATGAGAACTCACAACGGAGAGAGAAGTTTTACTTGCACACAGTGTGGGAAAAGTTTTTCTCGAAAACAAAACCTTACCATCCACATGAGGATTCACACTGGAGAGAAGCCTTACATATGCACAAAGTGCAGTAGAGGTTTCATACGCAAGAGCACACTCAAACACCACATGATAAGTCACGCCAGACGCAAGCCGTTTCCATGTGCTCAGTGTGGAAAGAGCTTCACCACCAAATCTAGCCTCATGAATCACATGAATCGTCACACTGAAACCATAGTGTTTACATGTGATCAGTGCGGAAAGAGTCTCACACGCAAAGACTCCATTAAGCAACACATGAAGAATCTCTCAAGAGAGCAACGATTTAGATGCAGTGAGTGTGGAAAGGACTTTAAACATAAGCGAAGCCTCGGCACTCACATGAAGCTTCGCAACGGAGAGCAGAGTGCTTAAAGTTAAGGCTTTGTCCTCACATAAGGAGGGAATATTCGGGGAGATGCAGGGAACAATTAAGGATTGTTAGTTAAGGACAGGTCCAGATATTTAGCATAACTAATAATCGCAAGCCTCAGCAACAAGTCACCTACATTCTTATGCTGCGTTCACACGTCAAGCGCGAGTGATTTACATGTTAAGTCAATGCAAACGCGCGAATAGACATCCTGCGGTGCGAATGGTATGACGCGAATAGCGCGATACGCGCAAATGGCGCGGGGCGAAATGAGCGTTTTGCGCCGCGTTAACCAATCAGAAGCTTGCTCTTGTGGGGGCGTGATTGTGACGTAGAACCTGTTGTCATCAAACTTGGCTTGGCTCAGTCAGAAGCACCGCTGAAAGCCTCCGTGATCCAGGTTCAGTTTCTGGAGGAGTTTATGAGCTCACAGAGCTGGATGCACCTCTGAAAGCATGTGGTGGACTCAGACACGACCCTAAACGTATCAACGCTGTTTTTCAGTCTTCAAAAAGTACATAAACACTGTTATTTTCTTCATAAAATCCATGTTAGCCTTTTAGCAACGAAACTACAGTCAACGGGCTGACAGACGCCCTGCCCATCATGCGAATCTGCGTCTGTTCTGAAGTGAATTTGACATGCAAATGAAGCGGATTTGACGTGGGAATGAAGCAAGTAAACTCAAATGTTCACGCGGCAATTTACGTGTGAATAGTACGATTTATCCGCGCGTTCCGTGTCTGGTGTGAACACGGCATTAAGCTGCGGTCACACTAGAGTTTGTGTGTGCGAAATTCTGTCGTACGGCGCTGTGAAAAGGGGCAGGATTAAACAAGATGATTAGACATTGAAAAAGCGAGCGATTGCTCCATGTTTTAAATTCCTGTCCAGAGAGGTCATGTTTAGATTCTGATTGGTCTCACGCAGTCAGGTGATGCGATTTCGCAGGTCAGAGTTCACCAAGATTGAACTTTGCACCGCAGCAACCTGCTAAATTTGACGCATGACCCTGCGTTTCCGGTCTAACGCATTCGCGTGCGTATGAATGGAAGTCTATAGGGAGAAAAGTGCAGTGTGACCACAGCTTAAGATTGTGTTTTTGATCGTTCACAATGTTTGATCATGTGAACAAGCATCGATTTGCCTCCAATTTGGGGCTTTTGTCTGCAATTTTACAAAACCTGTTGGCAAATAAAACTCTGGACTAGAACTTGGGATGAAGCAATGACTGACTCCCCAAAGCCCTGTTCAGGCTACACAACGTCATTTGCCAGTTACGACATTGACTGTGTCAGATTATGAGAGTTTTTTTTTTTTTTTTCTTTTGTGAGCATATAAAATCTTGAGGTGTTGTGGGTAACAAATGAAGAGTTTGGTATTAAATGCTATACATTTATTTTGAATAATTTGACACAACTTTTTTTTTTTATCATAACAATGACACTTTCTGTAGCCAATTGGTTACCTTTATTGATGCATTATGAGAACTCCTGCACCAACACAAATAAAACAGTGTGTGGGAAACAGTGTTGCTTATTGTCAATAAGAATATTAGCTTACATGCTAATTCCAGTTCTCAACAGGCTATTGAAGCACTTCAGCTATCTAAGTTTGATTATTATTTATGTACAATATGTATTGTACTACTAATGTGCAAGCGGTGTGTGTGTGTAGGTTATACCCCCTATGGCCAGTTCGCCCCTGTGTGTGTGTGTGTGTGTGTGTGTGTGTGTGTGTGTGTGTGTGTGTGTGTGTGTGTGTGTGTGTGTGTGTGTGTGTGTATATATATATATATGTATATGTATATATATATATATGTATATATATATATATGTATATGTATATATATATATATGTATATATATATGTATATGTATATATATATATATGTATATATATATATATATGTATATGTATATGTATATATACGCGTGTCCATACAGGAGGATATAGCGAGACCCAGTGGTGTTTTAGTAGTGAACAGCTGTTCACTGTTAATGTCAGCAAACTCCAATAATGTCCAGCTACAAACCAAACCACCTTCAGATTGATGTGTTTGAACAGATTTAGAGGGTTTTTAATGTATTTTACATGTAGGGTTAAGATTAGGTTGTTTATTTTAATGGATACAGATCATTAAATGATTATAAGTCAGTCTAATTCAAAGCAGCAACAGTTTTCTTTGCCATCTCCTTTAGTCCTGTCAGGTTCCTTTACTGAAGAAAAGGCCCAAATACTAAAGAATTCAGGAGCTTTGAACCTGTCTGTGCATTTATTTATATATATATATATATATATATATGTGTGTGTGTGTATATATTTATATGTATATATATGTATGTTTGTGTATGTATATATTTATATGTATATATATGTATGTGTATATATATATATGTATATATATATATGTATATATGTATATATATATATACGCACAGGCAGGTTTAAAGCTCCTAAATTCGTTAGTATTTGGGCCTTTTCTTCAGCATTTTCTCTACACAATCAGTTTGGGCCTTCAAAAAAAAATTAGCAGAAAAAGGTTGAGAACCTCTGGTCTAAATGACTTGCTGCTTAAGAAATGGATTACAGCATGCTGATGATATGCGCAAATTTGAGTGTAGTTTGTCAGAAATTCTCCGAATATTGCCGTATTATTTACGTACCAGCAGGTGCCGCCATTGGAAATATTTTGGTTGAGACTTTTTTCAAAGAATTAATTTTTAGATCCTAAAAACAGTGTTTATGCTGCTTGGGTGTAGGGATGGTACACAGTTTAACCCAAAGAATGACCAGTCTGGTAGATGAAAAAGAGCCGGAGTCAGAGGTTTAAATAAATCAAGTTTACTGAAGATAGTTTGCAGTTTCATCAGCTGAAGCCAGCTTCAACACTCGCAATGAGTTCCTAGGCCGCTCTGCATATCTTTCCTATGCTAGAGTGAGGATGCTTTCTGGCCTATTGTGGTTAGTGACTTAGCCAATGTCACTGTTTAAATGCCATCAAGTCTAAAATATGTAGTAAAAAAAATTATGAGAAACAAGATGATGAGAAAAGGATAAACGTTGGCCCATGATGAGATGGATTGTAAATTAGAAATCAGAATCCTTCATAGGCATGGGACGATAACCGCTTTCAAGGTATACCACAGTTTGGAAAAGTTAAGGTTTTAAAACCGCCAAAATGTTCTGCTATATCGTTCCTACAGTATACAGTTGAAGTCAGAATTATTAGCCCCCCTTTTAATTTTTGTTCTTTTTTTTAAATATTTCCTAAATGATGTTTAATAGAGCAAGGAAATTTTCACAGTAGGTCTGATAATATTTTATCTTCCGGGGAAAGTCTCATTTGTTTTTTGGCTAGAATAAAAGCAGTTTTTAATTTTTTTAAATCCATTTTAGGGACAAAATTGTTAGCCCATTTAAGCTACATATATACAAACCATCGACATACAATAACTTTCCTAATTACCCTAACCTGCCTAGTTAACCTAATTAATCTAGTTAAGATTTTAAATGTCACTTTAAGCTGTATAGAAGTGTCGTGAAAAATTTCTAGTCAAATATTATTTACTTTCATCATGGTGTAACAGGTATTAAATTTATTTATGTTTTCGTTATAAATTCACGCAAAATCTTTGTTTTGTTGGTCATTAATATGTAAGAAATAAAGAGAAAATGTTTTATTTTTGTTTTGACGCGTCGGCGCGATGACGTCAGTGACATAGCGCGCGCTTTGCTTCAGTCTGTCGAAGGACAGAGCAGAGCGAGGTAGGCATTACTCCTGTCCCGTGGAAAAGTGTGTATAAAGTACAAAAATATGTAATTTAGATGAAGTGAGTTTGTTATAATATGTTATATAACATGTACATGAGTTATATGAGTGTGTTTGGGTTCTTTATATCGTGTTTTAACCTGCCAAACTGTCGTTTCAACCAAGAGAAGTGCAGTGCACAATATTAGCATGAAATTTAGCCTGTGAAATGTGTAACGTTATTTTGATTGCTGATTTTCGATTTGTTTTGTGTATGAATGTTTAGCAGTAGCAGGCGTAAGAGGAGTTTTAAGAGAAGACTAACTGCATGTTCTCTGTTTGTGCAGGTATTGTTTTTTGTGTTTTATGTGTCTGATGTTTAATGTGTTATATAAAATACTGGTAAATGTTATATATTATATATTAAGTGGAGTTTTTGTAAAGCATTGGGAAGTTAAAATATTCACTATATTAATTAAAAGTTTTATAATGACTTATCTTTTTTCATTATGTAATATGTTATATTTACTGTTTTGTTCTTGCTTGAGTCTGTCGGAGGACAGAGCAGAGCGAGCAGTAGCAGGCGTAAGAGGAGTTTTAAGAGAAGACTAACTGCATGTTCTCTGTTTGTGCAGCACTTAAATAAATGAGACCGCTGAACCTGCAGACAGACTCCAGCTCTTTACTTTACACAACACAACGCAGAGGGGTAGTCGAGCCGTAAAGACCGGCCCCGGCTACAATGGCAAAGATAAATCAGCTACTAGGGAAGAGTTATTAAAACTATTATGTTTAAAAATATGTTGAAAAAAATATTCTTTCTGTTAAGCAGAAATTGGGGAAAAAATAAACAGGGGGCTAATAATTCTGTCTTCAACTGTATATGTAAGGTTTTTTATGCTTTAAGTGTTTTAGAACAAGAGCATCTCTGGCAGAAAGTTATCCAAAGATGCTGTTTTAAATTGTCAAAAAAACTAAAAAAAAAGTATTCTTATTTTACTCAAGCGATTTAATAATTGTTTTTGATTACAAATTAAGACAGCAGAAGTCAATGATTCATTTGAATGATTCAGCCTGACATGTTTTCTGCTTCAAAATATTGTAAAAGTTTTTGAAAAGACAATATATCGTGTTTAAAGGGGAAAAAGCTTCTTTTTTTATCCAGACATTTAAAAAGAATATATTTTAAAGCAGTAATCGCAGTACAGTGAAACCGTGATATTTTTATTCAAGGTTATCATATAGTCAGTGTCTTATACTGGCTCATGCCTAATGCTGCTTAATGTTGCAAAGTCATATTTTTCTAATTGTATTATTTTTCTTTGTATGTATAGCAGAGGTCACACATGGGCAAGTCTCAAGTCATAACCTTCAAGTCTCAAGCAAGTCAAAGTAAATAGTCACTTTCAAGTCAATCTAATTGTGTATACAGTTGAAGTCAGAATTATTAGCTCCCTTTTGATTTTTTTTTTCTTTTTTAAATATTTCCCAAATGATGTTTGACAGAGCAAGGAAATTTTCACAGTATGTCTGACAATATTTTTTCTACTAGAAAAAAAATCTTATTTGTTTTATTTCAGCCAGAATAAAAGCAGTTTTGAATTTTTTAAAAACTATTTTTGGGACAAAATTATTAGCTTTAAGCTAATTTTGATTCGATAGTGTACAGAACAAACCATCGTTATACAATAACTTGCCTAATTACCCTAACCTGCCTAGTTCATCTTATTAACCTAGTTAAGCATTTAAATGTCACTTGAAGCTAGAAGTGTCTTGAAAAATATCAAGTCAAATATTATTTACTGTCATCATGGTAAAGATAAAATAAATCAGTTATTAGAAAAAGGTTTTCAAAACTCTTATGCTTAGAAATGTGCTGAAACAATCTTCCCTCTGTTAAACAAAAAATTGGGGAAAAAATAAACAGGGGCGCTAATAATTCAGGGGGGCTAATAATTCTGACTTCAACTGTATATATATATATATATATATATATATATATATATATATATATATATACTTTCATCACTAGTGAATCAGATGGATTTCTGCTCAGGGGAATGTGTGCTTACTTCAAAGCCATTAAAATATTATACTATTAATTAAACGAGACCGTAAATGACAAAACCAACTTAAAGTGCGCAGGTAAAAATTTTTTTTGGAAAAAATTATTGAATCAAAATGATAATTTTTTTGCTTTTATTACAAAAATAAACGTTATAGATATATAGAGATCCATGGTCTGAAATGGTTTCTTGTTTTGCATAACTTAATTCTTCAATTTTTCGCCCGATAAATAGTTTTTAAAAAGATGCATGCGCGTAAAAATACTGGAATATGGCATTTAACAGATTGTTTTAATTTTATCTTTTTTTTTTTAACTTAACCCCTAACTGACCATCGCAATATCTCATGGCCAAATAGCAAATGAATCGTTCAAAAGGAATTGTTCAAATGAATCAATTTAAAGCGGTTCTTCTTAATGAACAGAATGATTCAGTCCAGCAAATTCTTTCAGGCCGATCTCAGAACCGATGAGCTGTAAATACTGCTTAAACTGATCCTATCAGAAGGGTGGATTTAGCGTGGATTTCATGCCCAAAATGTAATGCAAACTTAAAAAATTATTAAATAATACTATTTTTGGATCATGCAGTATCTTACCGGATATACTATTTCATTATAAGGTTTTAATTTTATTTGTTCATCTGTCAGGCTATAGTGAGTATAGGCTTTAATGTATTCAGCCTTTCAGTATAGGCCTACAGCAAAGTAGAAATAGCTTGACCTCATAAAATAATCCCCCAAACAGTTGTCAAAATTGACCAAAAACAATTAATTTTATTCTGTCAATAATTGATATATATATATATATATATATATATATATTAATCACAATGGAAAATATTTTTGTTTTTAGAATATTTATTAGTGATGCATGCAATGATTGCAGAATAACCCCAAAAAAATTTGCAAAGAATGGCAATCGCTGATTTTTGATATCACTATCAACAATTGCAAAAAGAGACTGAAAGAGCAGAAGCACAGCTTCGTCTGGCAGAGAAACAACTGATTCTGACTCAAAATGCAGCAAACCAAGGCCAATGACTTGAGATTCGCCTCCTAAAGGCTACGCTCAGACAAGCTGCTCTCTCCACATCAGATGAGGAAGTCTGAAATTATTGTGGAGTTTTTGACATTAAGTCTTTTTTTAAATTTACATCTATATTTGAAACTTATTATAAATATCCTCAATATACAGTGTTTGTGTTGTAGGTCTAAGATAAGCGGACTGCTGGAAGAGGATGGGGTGGGCTTTTTCTTGTTTTTCTTATTTATTATTATTATTATTATTAATTTAATATTTATAAAATTTTCTTAGTTTTCATTTCAAATAAAAATAAAGTTATATTGGCCCCACGCTGGCTATTCTACTTGTCACTCTACATATCTATAGTTCTACACTGTGATGTCCTATGCTGTTTGAGCACTGGTTATCCAGATTTAGTGATCCTGAAAAGTTCCTATCCGGATCAGATTGATCCAATCCGATGTTGCTTTGAAAAACTGGCTCAAAAAGTAAGCTGGATTACGTGATCACGGATCGCAAAAACAGGATTACTAAATCTGGATCAATTTTATCCGGATTAAACCTTTTGAAAAACCGGGCCCTGGAGTTTCAAGCCTTAGACCGGCCCACCTCAGTTCACGACTGACTAAGTTACATTAAAATAAGGTCATTTCCAATTCCGTTTCTAATTACACTACCACGTCTTTTTTTGAGAAAACAGCTGCTTTAAAACTTCAAATATTCAACAACCCTTACAGTATTATATTTCTTAACAATAAAAAAAAAAAATTGCATATTCAGATAGGGATCACACCCGGGTCGGTGGTGTTGAAATCTAACGCGCTAACCACTGGACCACAACAGCTGTATATTGTAAGGTGACCAATATGATTTATATAATCATTAACCTGCAGGTTGGTAATATATAAAAAGAGCAGAGCTGCGGTAAAATAATGAATAAGAAGGCTGTGGAAAAGGAAATAAATACATTAATTTAAAAAGTGTGACTGCTGAGAGCAACAGATTCCGGAGCTAGGGACACCGGCCCTCACGGCCAAAAAACGGACCGGCCCACCGGGAATTCTCCCAGTCCTCCCGATTAGCCAATCCGGGCCTGTCCTATAGAGTCCGCCTTTGCGCACCTGTGGCGAGTTGCGCTTATTGAAATTGGCTATAAATACGGACCAGCCTTGAGCTGAGACAGAGGAGACTTCACTGCCAGCCATCAAGCTTCTTTTATTCTCTTTAATTTACTATTTTGTTTTCTTTAAAGGTTCAGGACACCCCGGAGAACTTTTTTTTTTTGTATTAACAGATGTGTGTGTGTTGAGCATAAGTTAAGACAATGTTAGCACCTGTCAGCTTTAATTGTGGGGTAAACGATCATTTTGAGCTTTTGTCAGCTAATTTCAGCTTCCGGGTTTAAAATGATTTTTGGGGCGGGATCAAAATCGGCGACGTAGCGCAGAACTGCAAGTGCAATGATGACGCGTCAGTTTCTCATTATTATTCATAGCGGAGTTTTCTTATACTATGAGAAGAGCCGGCTGCTTAATTATTCATGATACCTGCCAGACCTGCCAGTGTCAAGCCCGAGCTGAGAGACACGGAAACCACGGCACAGTATTTAGCCGTTCATGAAGGCTCATATGCGTTTGTTTCCATGATCCACGGGGTTTGTTGCATGTTTTCCCCCGCGATCTTGTCAGGGCCGATCATACAGCAAAGCTGTGTGCGTGCTGCTAGCATTTTTGTCGGGAGAGCAGCACGAGAATCAGAGAATAGCGGACGCTGTCTTTCATCAGGAGTTCGTTCACATTCAGACACATCGCCAAGCTGCTGTGTTCGCCTAAATCCTCCAGATTACCAGCAGGGCTAATGGTTAAAATAGACGGGTCAGGAGACCTGCTGCACTGAGTCTGCTGGATACGGGGATTGAGGGAGAAGTTATAGGGTTTAAATGAACACACTTATCTTTATAATGATATAAATTGTTGTTGTCTGTATATGAAATTACAAATAACAAATGTAGCAGGGCATTAAATCACTGTTCATTTCTTTGCATTTTAACTTTGTAAACTATAAACTCATGCGTCTCCTCTTTGTGTCTCATTTTGTGAGCTAACTGACAACAGCAGTTATTCGCTCCCCTTCTCCCCTGCTGGCTTCGCCCACTCCTGCCCGATGCTCGCGGAGCTCCACGTCCATTAATCATGCATCTTTAGAAAAAATTCTGAAGTAGACTTTAACCGAAAGAGGGGGGTGTCATGGCCCTTTAAGTCTTACTTTGCTCTAGTTTGTTAATTGTTGGGTTGTTAGTCTTTGGTTAGTGTTGTATATTTGTTGGAGAACGTGAGTTATCGATTCTTTATTCTTTCCTTTTTAATTGTGACGCATGATTTGTTTGATCGTTTCGGTTGTAATAAATGTATTAATTTAGACAACTTAGTTCATGTGTCCTCCTTATGTTGCGTTCCCTCTATGAATTATTTTGTGTTGATAAAAAAAAGGGTTCGTTACACCACATGACGGAGAGTAAATGGTTGGGTCATTTTAATTTTTGGGTGAAACATCAATTTCATGCTTGTCGCTTTGTGCCTTCATACTAAAGTTCACTTTTTTTTATAAAGGGCACCTATGGTGAAAAATCTACTTTTCAAGCTATTTGGACAAACATATGTGTATATATAGTGTATAGACCGTCATATTGGGGTGATATAAACACACCAAGTCCTTTTTTTTCAATTTATCAACATAAAAACGGTGGACCAATTAGGTTTTCAGACCCACCGCAACTTTACGTAGGAGTGCGATCCCACCGAATTGATTGACAGCAAGGTCTGTTCTGTTCGCTAGGATCAGCAATCATCATCAAATGTGATTAAGAGTAAGTTTCACATGTTTAAAGTGTTTAATTAAAGTGTGTAATTAATTACAGCGATTTACTTCATCAGCACAGCCGCGTGTCAGAACAATTATAAAAGAAGATGCTTCAATCCCGGTTTGTGGAAGTTAAATCAGGTTTATTTTGTACATTAGCATAACAAATAGCCACACAGCACTAGAGGTTAGCCTGTATCCTGTCACATTTGAGTGCAAAAACAGTGCTAAGCTAAGCGCGCTCTGTCTGTCTGCCTGTGTGTGTGTGTGTGACTCATCAATACAACTTCACAATACTGATTAGTAAAGGTTAGTTCTTACTGTAGTATTTCTCACAAACGCTACGTGAGACCTTCTTCCTTTAAGTCTGTCTGTTGTCTGACGCAGCCAAGGGAGGAGATTAAAGCACGCGGGAAGGCACGTAGAAACCGTAGGCAGGCAGAACTCGCCTTAAAGTCGCAGTACAACAAAACCACCCCCTGCTAGAAATCAGTATAAAACAGCATCTTGTTAAAGGTATAATGAAAAATCTGATGGGTGTTTTGAGCTGAAACTCTATATACACATTCTAGAGACGCAACAGACTTACATTAAATCTGAAAAAAAGGGTAACCTAGGTGCCCTTTAAGACCTGAAGGTGCTGAAAGAAGAGACCCATCTACAGAATGAAATGGAAGAGAAACAGCAAGACATGACGACTGATGGAAAACCCACACTGACTCAGAAGACTTCATCACGCGGAAGACCTCGGAAATCCAAATCTAGGTGTAATTTCAGCAGTAAACAGTGTGGAAAGAGTTTCAGTCAAAGGCCAAAGCTTGATGTTCACATGAGAGTTCACACTAATGAGAAACCTTACACCTGCGAACAGTGTGGAAAGTGTTTCTATACTACAGGAAACTTAACAGTGCACATGAGAATTCACACTGGACAGGGGCTGTACACATTCCAACAGTGTGGAAAGAGTTTTAAGCAAACTGGCAGCCTTGAAGTCCACATGAGAACTCACGATGGAGGAAGAAGTTTTACTTGCACACAGTTGGGAAGAGTTTTGCTCAAAAACAAAACCTTAAAATCCACATGAGGATTCACACTGGAGAGAAACCTTACAGATGCACTGAGTGTGGTAAAAGTTTCTCATATAAAGACAAACTCAAACCCCACATGATAACTCGCACCGGAGAGAAGCTGTTTGCATGGGCTCAGTGTGGAAAGAGCTTCACGACCAAAGCTAACCTCATGAACCACATAGACCAGGGGTGCTCAACCCTTTTCCTGGAGATCTACCTTCCTGCAGATTTCAGTTGCTACCCATATCAAACACACCTGAACCAATTAATTAGGACCTGAACAGCACTTGATAATTACAGGCAGGTGTGTTTGATATGGGTAGCAACTGAAATCTGCAGGAAGGTAGATCTCCAGGAACAGGGTTGGCCACCCCTGACATAGACGGTCACACCGGAACCATAGTGTTCACATGTGATCAGTGTGGAAAGTGTCACACGCAAAGACGCCATTAACAAACACATGAAGACTCACTCAGGAGAGTGTTTTAGATGCAGTGAGTGTGGAAAGAGCTTTAAACATGAAATAAGCCTCAGCACTCACATGAAGCTTCACAATGGAGAGCAGAGTCCTCAAAATTGAGGCCTTGTCCACAAAAACACGGGTAGTTTGGCTGTTTTTCAAGTGAAGTTTATTTATAAACTACTTTTGAGAGGATCACATGCTGATTCCTTGATGAAACCTAACTCACTATAATTAATTAGTGATTCTTACCTCAGTTAGCTTCATCTTGAAGAATCCCCCTCCCACCCCTACAACACCTCCTTTTAAGATTGGACACCAAGGAAGCCCCGTGGTTAGCACTGTTGCCTCACAGCAAGAATGTCTCTGGTTAACACTTAAACTCTGCGGACCCGGTACCGGGTCTGTGACGTCATCGACTTTCGCTTTCCGATTTAAAGGGCTAGGGTTGCACCAGACCCCCGTAAGTGGTTTCGTTTAAAAGTGTAGAATCTATATTTTATGCACATATGCATCACTTTGGTTTTTATTCAACTGTATAAAAGTTATTTACACTTAATTTCACAGTATTTTGGATACCCGAGCTGGGTATTTTACATTGGTTCATTTTCATATTTTTTCATATGACACATGTACAAGTGATAGCTCAAATGAAAGCTCTTGCCGGTGCTCATACAGTTCTAGCATTCGTTTTACTGAATTATATTCATATGCCAAACAGTTGTTGAATGAATTGTGGTGTTTCCATGGTGCAGAAATGTAAACAATACATTCATGATCAATAAGCAGCCCCAGATAGCACAGACAGCTGTCATCTCTTACCTTATGCTGTGCCCTTCAGGGCCATTCTCCTCTGTTTTTGAGGTGATGTGCATAAGTAATCCTGTTATATGTCTGATGTGGTCCAAACACAGTGAATTATGTTTGATCAAACAAAAGAATAGTGAAATATGAAAACAAGGATCGGTGCCTGTGGCTTGTACAGCACCTCTCATCAGCTGGAATGCAATAACTTTTGCATAGATTATGGTGGAGAGACATTTTTCTTTTTTCCTATGATTACAGACATGAGCAGGAACCACCAACATAAATTACAGCACGCTAGACCACACAGAACCTAAAAGGTACACTTTCAAATTTGAGTTTGAGTTATAAAAAAAAAAATACAAAAAGCGCCTCTTTTTTAGGTGTTTATTATAACACAGACAACATATACAGTCATTTTAAACACTTTCAATAGTGTTTTATGAAAATTCAAAGGGTTTTCTTTAAAATGATACCAAATTTTTGCATTTACACCTCTTTATGTGGATTTGGGAAGCTTTTAAATTTGGGTAGGCAAAATCCAGGCGGAAATCCCCAAATAGCAGCAGAGTTTAAGTGAGTCCCCACTAAAGCAGTTGACATTTCGGTGTGGAGTTTGCTCATTCTCCCCATGCTCGCGTGAGTTTCCCCCGGTTTCCTCCTACAGTCCAAAAACACGCGACCTAGGTAAACTGAACATTCTAATTACCATAGACATTCTAGACACCATAGTCGAGCTCTTAGTAAGCCATATAGCTCTCTTTAGCCATCCCTATACCTGTCACTAGAACAGAAACAAGTCAGGGGAGTTCATTGAGATCTACCTGATAAAATACGCTAGAATAAAAAACAGCAAGTTTTCGCTATCTATAATCCCTAATCATAACTCCTGTACAGCAGTCCCACAACATTCTGACACTCGATGACACTGGAATACCCTGTCAGAAAAGTCTAGTGTCTGGTAATGGGCTTTTTACAGTGTCTGCTATAATGTTAATGTTGTTTTCGTGTGTTTACATTGATGAATATGGCCACTTTGTAAATGCGCAGTACAGTTACGGTCTTATTTCCACATTATATCGTTATAATAACATGCTATATGCCTTCAATGATTTCCTGAAGGTAAATACCAAATAAATAACACAACTGGAATTAAAACAGCAGTCGTGATCGTCTGATCTCATATGAAGCAAGAGCTCACGATGACATATGAAGACGTGTGCAGGTGTTGGCACATTTCTTAAGCCTGATTTATACTTCTGCATCAGGTGACCGGAGTAACCCACGGCGCATGCAACGCGCGCAGCTGTGCATTTATACTTCTGCGCGCTGTCTCTGTCGGTCTGCATTAACACTTCCGAAACGCTAGTTGGCAGTGAGGTGTAAATGTTCCTCTGTGTCGAGTTTCATTGCTGCTTTTTTGCTTTCCCTGAACGCTTCCGTGATGTACAAGTGACTTAAACTCGCTCATTTTGAGGCAGGAACCGGCGGACGTGCAACAACTTTAACTATGAGGTAAACACAAAACAAAACTTTCCATCCGGAGCTCCTTCACGGGACTCCACACTTGTAAACAATCGCTCCATCAGGCTCGCACCATTCGCGCGGCTCTCGGTCCCGCCCAGACTCGTCAGCGCTACCAAGCCGACCAATCACAGAGCTTACGCTACATGTCGTTGCGACGTGTAGTTACATTTTTTGAGAGGTGCACGTCGGCGACGGCCACGGCGAAGGACTATGCATCAGCGCTGTAGCATACGCCGGCGTTTGACGCAGAAGTATAAATCAGCCTTAAGGGGTAAATTTTGAAGCCCTTTCCCTTCACAATCGGTTTGAAGGGGCGAAGGGGAAGGGGGTACAAAAATAGAATTGGGATTGGGACAAAGTATTATATAGGTCTATTAGACACTCAAGGCTTTGAAAGCCTTGTATAATAGCTGAAATGTCTTCAAATGTGAGTTTTTCACAAATAGATCAGCTAATAGATGTAGATCTTAATCCAGTGTTACTTGTGGTTTACGCTGTGCATCTTGTTGTGTTGATGAGATCCAGACAGTATATACAGGGCTCAACAATAAGGACTGGCCTGGGGCCAGCGTGTGAGATACTCGGGACAGTAGACAGGATCCTTACTGGCCCGATCGGGCCACAAATGCCCTGTCATTAAAGTTTCATTTGCCTGTGACTATTTGTCAAACGCGTGCAAATACAGTCAGAATGGAGAAACCGTTTGTGTTTTTAAGCCTTTAAATGCTACCTTCTCGGTTCCTCTTATCTGATTGGATGTTGTGAGCATGCTATTTTTTTCCGTAACAACCAGTACAGCTAAGAGACAGCAACCTGGCGGCAACATCAAGGGATGATGCTAGAGGAAAACATTTGTCTCTAACTTCTTGGAAGCAGACATTTACGAGGGTACACCACGACAAAAAAAAAATGAAGTGATGTTTTATACAGTTTGCCGTTAGTTTGGCAGGTAAGTCATCCTTTGTTTTGCAATAAAATACCTGCGCATTTTGCTATTTTTGTTTGCAAAACACTTTTTAAAATATTTTATAGTTTTATAGTATATTTAAAATATTAAATATCTAGATTTACAAACATTTTGACCTTTTTTTTAAAATTTGTGGCTAAGAAATAGCTATTAACTTTTTTTGGTGGGGCCAGTGGCAATATTGGCAGGGCAAGTAAAAATCTGAACCACTAGTCCGATCGGGCCAGTAGAAAAAAATCCTTAGCGTTGAACCCTGATATATATAAATATATCGGGGTACAGTTCAGCGTAGTGGTGTTCAACAGGTGGTGTTTCCTCAGGTCTGCCTCTAACTTTTCCAAATATTTAATGTCTAGTAAGCAAAGACCTCAGTTCTGTCTCATAAAGTTCAGCAACTTTATCGACATGTGGCAGCAGTTCCTCCGAGATTTTATTTAGACATCCACCCTCTGGCAAAACATCAGGAATGCTTTTACCTGGAGTAAAAATTGTTAACAAGATTGGCAGTTCATGATTTTTATTACTTTATTAAAACTACTTCAGAATACCTGAGATCTGGTGTTAATTTGAAGCTTGTACAACTCTACTGATGCCAAGGTGACAAAGCTGGCATGTGAAGCTGGAGACACAGTATGTGACAAGGTTGTCCTCCATGTCCCACAATTCTTGCTGTACTATCGCTGCTTTTTTGTGGTTTAATTTTTATTGAACAGTTGAAAATAATCTAGCATACATAGTTTTAGACAAGTGTGACGAGGGTATAGAGTAGGGTTTAAATCTCTTAAAATAAAAATAACCGACTACGCCACCCCAGGAGTTACCCAGGGAAACAACTATTAGAAAAGGACACAGGTTCGTTTCTCCCAGAAAGGCACAGAGACGTGAGTTAATGAAAAAGTACAAAAATATTTATTTGGAATAAAACTATCAAATAGTACGGTTCTTAAAAACACATCAAAAACTCCCACTTCATTATTAAACACAAGAAGCAATAAATAAACAAAACCAAACCAGGATTGGAGGTTCCCACTGACTGGGTACGAGTGGACAGACTTTACCCCAAAACACGCACACACCACAGTGCACTCAAAAATCCCGCTATCACGCACTCAGTGTCCACAGCACACGATAGAGAAACCCCACCACCAGTGGAAAGTGACCCGTCATCCACCGGGGGAAACCTCAGTTCCTGAAATAAATAAAAATAAAAATCAATAACCAACAAAACACAAATAAGTGGGTCAATCAGGTTAACACCTACTCTACATGATCTAATTGAAAGATAGCTACAGCTGTATTTACACCATCTGACCTACACTAGACCCAACATTAACTGTTACTAGAAATAAGACTAAACTCACAAAAGAATACTCTTAATAACGAAAAACAAATCAATACTTTGCATAAATAAAGACACAACAAAAAAACAGAAGAATGCTAATGTTGACAAATCGATTATCCAACACAAATAAACAAATGAAAGAATGAAGGGGAGCACAAAGCAGCACGCTAAGAGTTATTGCAGGCAGTCCCCGCTAGCAGCTGCATTGGTGGTGTCCAAGCGGCAGCCAATACGCCACCGTTAGCATTAGCAGCAGTTGCAGACGGTCTCCGGTAACCACGGCAATAGCGATGAACACGGGAGCTAGTAAGCAAATGATACCAGAGGAAGATCCGACGTAAGAGAGAAAGAAAGGGGAAAAGGGAGGATCCTAAGGAGGAAAAGCGCCAACAAGCCCATTAACATGGTCCTTTAAATGATCACACCATATCATACGTGCTTCACTTACCAATGGGCGCACACTCAGACACGTTCTAATCACGCGTTGGTCGATACAATACAGCGAGGTGCCGGAATTAATAGCTGTACAGCATGAAACACGCAGGTTAAAATGCGGCTAAACCCCATTACATCAGCCAGTTCAAAGCCATCACATACCTGCAACTGAACAGTCATCCAGCCACCACAGCCAAGGGAAAAGCCACCGTCACACGATGCACTAGAACAATGCCAAAAGAGAGCTTAACGTGGGTCGATTCAAACAACTTAAAAAATTCAGAACGAGCGCAGAGCCTCTACCTGTAGCCGCGGCTACAGACACCCAAACCAGTGCGTCGGAGTCGGACGTGACGTATCCCAAGCACCGGCCAATCAGGTTTAAAAAGGCGGTGCTACGTGCCAATTGGCCGATGTCAATGCCAATCAGCTGCACAGCACCATCACATTTTGGTTACTCATTTCAATCAGCTGCACTACACCATCACACAAGGATATCAATCAACTGCATTTTCTATTATCTCCCCAGCCGACCCACCCCTGGCGAAAATAATAAATAATAAAAAATAAATAAAAAAGCAACAAATCAGAGCCCAAAACAAGGAGATAATAGTAATAAATATTATTAAAATTTTAAATATGATATAAAAATTATATATATTACACTACACGTGTGTAATTTAAAAAGTAAATAAATAAAATTTAATTTAAAAACCTCTGCATTTAACTTCCTACAAAAACACGTTTAACAAAGGTAGATACATTGGACTTTTACACATAGGTTAAATAAAATGCAAAGAAAAAAAAATCCCAATAGCATATCTTTTATATTAGTTATTGCACATATCCATGAAGTAATAATTTTTGTAGAAGTGCCATGCATCCTTGCCACTGTTACAACCTCTTTGATGTTAGTCTAGGGCAGGGATGGGCAAACTTGATCCTCGAGGGCCGGTGTCCCTGCAGAGTTTTGTTCCAACACTAGTCAAACACACCTGAACAAGCTAATCAGTGTCTTCAAGATCACTAGAATCTATAAGCAGGTGTGTTTGATTAGAGTAGGAGCCAAACTGTGGGAACTCCAGGACCGAGTTTGCCCACCCCTGGTCTAAGGTAAAAGTAATAACATTTAAAAGGTGTGATACTTTTACAAGTGATGGGTGAAAGTAAAAGACACAAACAACAAAGGTGATTTAATGTACAAAAAATGAAATCAGAATAATGCCCAAATATATATACAATAAGAAGAGATGATTTACAATAATAATAAAGGAACAAATGAAACAAAGTATCAAACAAAATGAGGTCAACTCAAGAGTAAGGGGACGCTAGTGAAGCCAAATCAAAGAAATAAATATAACAAAGCAATTCGAACTCATAAGCAAACCCCTTACCTCGCTAGAAGCATGAAAAGAAAAATCTTCAGCGCCAAGCGCCGTAATCTTACCTTTACCAAACTCTATGAAAACCAAACAAATACATAAGTGGCATTCACTTCTTACCTGGTGTTTTAAACAATAGCCCCTTTCACACATACAGACCTTTCCGGAAAATTACCGGCAATTTTCCGGAAAGGTTGTATGTGTGAACAGGCCCTTTTTGAAAATACCGGTAAATTCGTTCTGGCTATTTTCCGGAAAGAGAAGTTGTAACATTGCCCGTAATTTGCCGGAATGCTGCACTGTGTGAATGCAGAAGGAAGCTTGCCGGAAAGAGCGCGTCCACGTCTAGAACGTGCTGACTTGAGACACCTGCTTTAGCCAATCAGAACAGTCAGACGCATTCACGTCCGCATGGTTTATGAGAATAAAAGCCTTTGAATATTTTTCCAGACACATTTAGCTGCTAGATGTTAGTCAAATAATGTTTCTATGTTCCTTCTTAATGCTAACTGTGTAAATAATTATCGATAAAATGTTTATGATAATCCGTTGCCCGTGAGCGCCCATAGCGCCAGCACACACACATATCATGAACATCTCGACATGCGAAAGTGTTACCCTATGATTTCATTAGAGTTGTACTCAATACTGATTCATCCAAAGAGTTTGTAATGTAGTCAAATGTTTACAAACACAAGCATAGCCGTTAAGAGGTCATTTCTGGTTAATGATGTCAGAATTTACCGGCATTTTGCGATGGATGTGTGAATGCTCTTTTCCGGAAAAATTCCGTAACGTCCTCGCCTGTGTGAACAGCGCTTTTTTTAATTTACCGGTAAAGTCGTTCTGGAAATTTTCCGGATATTTACCGGTATCACTGTGTGAAAGGAGCTTATGGATTGACTACGTGTTTGTATGATGGAAGTCCTACGACATCTGCCCTGTCCATCTTACTCTAAGGACAAAGTGAACTCTCAATATAATCTCTTTGTTTGCCAGGTAAGAGTTGGACCAAAAAAGAAACAAACAATCGAAATTAAGATGTACAAAAATCACAAAGTAGTTCAAAAATGGGCAGAAATAATACTAAATAATTTTATCTAAACGAAAGTTGAGCAAAAGCAACGAATAACAAAATCATGTCGGCAAAAACGGGATCAAAAGAATAGCGCTCTGTCATCCACTCTCCCGGGCGTCCTTTTATGTGACAGCGCCACGTCACCCAATGATGAGTGACTGGTCTCCCGACCAATCGGCTTCCGCGAAGGCGGACCTAAAGGATACGACAGGCAGAGATGGTGAGAGAGAGAGAGAACAGAATGCAAAAATCCCACCAATATACGGCAACCGTAACACTCTCACCCTTATGAACAAACTTGTTTTGTTAAAAAAACAAACAAAAAAACAATAAGCACTAGACATAATCTATGCCCTCGAGAGAGCATCAGCTAAGACATTCTCAGAACCCTTCTTATGTCTGATCTCCAGGTTATAGCTCTGTGTGACAAGTGCCCAACGCATTAAGCATTGATTGTGATTGCACATACAGTTTAAAAACACAAGTGGATTATGATCAGTGTACACCACCACAGGAAGATTACTCGAACCCAGATAAACTTCAAAATGCTGCAATGCAAGCAGAAGATCAAGGGTCTCTTTTTCGATAGTCGAATAGTTCAACTGATGCTTATTGAACTTACGTGAATATTAACTAATAGGGTGCTCGATTACTTTTTCATCCTCCTGAATAAGGAGAGCTCCAGCACCTACAGTACTTGCATCCACCTCAAGTTTAAAATTACGAGTAAAATCTGGTGCCTATAAAACCGGTGCATTACACAACAACGTCCTGACAGACTCAAAAGCATGCTGACATTCATCAGACCACACAAAAGACTTGGACGGACTAAGCAGAGAGGTGAGAGGATTCACAACAGTGGAGAAGTTCTTGCAAAAGCTATGATAATAGCCTGACATGCCTAAAAATCTCCGCAATTCTCTGCGGGTAGTTGGAATGGGAAACTGTGATCGCTGTGACTTTCGCCTTCACTGGACGTACTTGGCCCTGGCCAACCTCCTCACCAAGGTAAGTAACAGATGCTTTTCCAAACTCACATTTAGCAAGATAGAGTGTCAAGTTTGCTTTCTCTAGGCCAGGGTTTTTCGAAGTCTAAGACAGTGGGCCTCCCTTTTGACACTACTTATCCATTGGCGCCCCCCTCCTCCCAAACTCACACACACACACACACATATATATATATATATATATATATATATATATATATATATATATATATATACAGTATATATAAAGACACAGACAGATATCAGACTGTTAACTCACTTTTATCATCATTTGCATGAAAGTGCAATTATTTACAGAGTAATAACAAGTATTTTAATATAACGTTTTTAAAACTAGGATGATGGTTCAATATGTATAGAACAGATCCAAGAACTGTCCATCCCAGTCAAAACAGTCAGATGATCTGTAACAGAGTGGTTGAAAGAACTTTAAACACACCAAAATGTAAATATCTCTACTATTGATTAATATGCTTACATAATTATATTCCTACCTTAGTGGGCGGTATGCAGTTGTTTCCTTGCTGCACAGAGAAGACTAATTAATAATAATAATTATTAATAATTCGTGGTTGTAGTGACGTCAGAAAGAGGCGAAGGTCATCCTCCACTTGAAGACGTGAGCGATATTTGTTCTTGATGAAAGTCAAAGCAGAAAATCCTGATTCGCACAAATACGTTGAAACAAATGCTAAAAGTTTCCTCAGTGCTTTTTGTGTAAGTTCAGGAAATTCATTTTGAACGGAAAGCCAGAGATGTTCAATGGAAGAGTGTGTAATCATTTGCTGCAGTTCATGATTACTAGTTAGATCAATCAAAGCCTCTTCATCTTGGATAGACAGTACGTCACTTTCTGCTGGCTTGAACTTGAATGGATTGCGAATCCACTCATCCTGGATTGTCTCGTTGGAAAAGTAGTGTGTGAATTGCTGACACAGCCCCCTTAGGTGTTCAGCGACCAAAGGCTGAATATGAACCACCAACCCTGTCTCTTGCATGAAGTCAGCCAGCGTGGGAAACATGTCTAAGCATCCTTTCTCCACACGAGTGGCCCATAGATCCATCTTTCTCCGGAAAGAGGAAACTTGCTCAAATGCCAAAAACACATTGCAGTCTCTGCCCTGCAATGATAAATTAAGCGCGTTGAGGCATTCGAATATGTCCGACAAATAAGCCAACCTTGAGATCCAGCTCAAATCACTCATGTGCTGCACCACCAGTGTGGATTGCACATTTGACAGAAAAAGTAGTACTTCCTCATGCAAATCCAAAAGTCGTGTAAGAACTCTGCCCCGAGACAGCCAGCGGACTTCAGTGTGCAAAAGCAGCTGTTTGTAATGCGCTCCCAATTCATCGCATAAAATGTGGTAAAGACGAGCATTTAGAGGTCATGTTTTTATGAAGTTAATAATTTTCACAGCTTCCTCAAGGACACTCCGAAGATCATTTGGCATTTTCTTGGCAGCTAAGGCTTGTCTATGAATAGTGCAGTGGGTCCATATGGCATTCGGAGCTACCTCTTTAACTCTCGATATGAAACCACTTTGGCGGCCCGTCATTGATTTTGCCCCATCGCTGCATATGCCACAGCAGCGTTCCCACTCTACATGGTTCTTTCTCACAAATTCGTTCAGCTGGTTAAAAATTTGTTCACCTGTTGTGTGGGTGGGCAAAGGACTACTAAATAGAAACTCTTCGTGAATGTCCATGTTTTTCACGTACCGCACATATTTTAACAGCTGAGCGCAGCTGGCCACATCTGTGGATTTGTCGATCTGGAGTGCAAAAAATGGGCTGTGACTGACGCCGTCTAAAACTTGTTCCTTCACATGCTGTGCCATATCTGAGATGCGCCGACTTATTGTGTTGTCAGAGAGTGGGACAGAATCGATCTTAAAAGCCGCTGCCTCTCCTAGCATCACAGAACAAATGTCTTTTGCTGCCGGCAGAATTAACGTCTCCCCGGTGGTATATGCTTCGCCTGCCTTGGCAATACGCAATGCAACGCGATATGAAGCTTCAGTGGACTTTCCATTTAATTTGGAAAAATCTTCAACAATTTTTTCAGACCTTGAAGGGTTTGAAGTTTTCTCTTGAAAAATTCTGGAGGTTTTCCTGCTACTTCATCATGCTTGGTTTCAGGGTGTCGCCGAAGTTTAGCGGGTCTCATGCTGTCATTAGCCAAAATATCTTGACAAACCACACATAAATGTCGTGGTTCATCAGCTGGTCCTGTCTACGTAAATCCTAAACTCAAATACTGATCATCATATCGTCGTCTTTTGGGTTTAAGTCCTGAACTTGAAGGCTTTGAATCAGGGGGTCTCAGAAACCGATCCATTGTATTAGCAGGCATATACCTGTATTGGCGGGCTTGCCAAACAGAAGCGAATTCACAGCTATGGCCTTCTGGGTAAAAAAGGTTTTCTTACTTTTGACGTATTTTTTTTTAGCTTTGTTTATTTAAAACGTTTAAATATAATAAAATATACATATAATAATTAAACTTAATAATTATATTTTTATTATATAATATTTTTTCCCGCGCCTCCCCTGACATGCTCTGGCGCCCCCCAGGGGAGGCGCGCCTCACACTTTGAAAACCCCTGCTCTAGGCGTTCGAACACAGTTTTCAATAAACCAACTCAACGAATATAGTACTAAATCATCAAGATAAGCACTACAGTTAGGAACATCATGCAAAACCAAATCTCCGAAAGGCAAATCTCCAAAAGGCATCGTATTATATTGAAGGAAATGATCTTGGGTTGCAAAAGCAGAAATATCAGAAGCTTGGGAAGTAAGTTTTATTTGCCAATATCCCTTCAGCATATCGAGCTTTGTCACAAAGCGTGCAGATCCTATGTTATCGATACAATCTTCCATTCGCGGTAATGGATAACTGTCATTCACCTTACGGTAATACTACCGTATCTAAATGTACCAAGAATCTAAATGTACCATCAGATTTTGATACCTGCAGACATGGAGAACTCCAAGGACTGCAACTAACTTTCGCAAACCCATTAGTCATCAAGTAATCTACTTCTTCACGCATGACAGATCTCATCATCATTTTGACTTGATAAGTGGGCTGCTTAATAGGACGAGCTCCATTTACATTAATGTTGTGTTTCAAGACATTGGTCTGAGTAGGTACATCACCGAATAGACATTTAAAATCAGAAATTAATTTTATAATGTCCATAACTCGTTCCACAGTCAAGTGATTCAAATGAGAGTGCAGATCTTTTAAAATCTCAGAATTGTCTAACCTGGCAAATGGCTAGGAAGTTTTTCTCAGTTTAACATCATCCGCATCCGTTTCCAAAAGCTCCGAACATGTTAGATCAGCGGCTAATGCAACAGAAGAGACCGCGGGCCCCGCAGTCTGCGACGGAACATTCGCCATTGACAGCTCTTGGTCATGATATGCTTTTAGCATGTTAAGATGACAAACAGGTTTATCGTTTGCGATCGGGTGTACACAGCAAGTAGTCAGTTTCACTCATTTTTTTTCTTAATCACGTATGGACCAAAGAAACGGGCTGACAATGATGCGCCTGGAACAGGTAAAAATACGAGCACTTTGTCTCCAGGTTGAAAGGATCGTGCCACGGATTTCTTGTCACGTTTCATCCCTTCCTGAGAGTTTTTCAAAGCCTCGCTAGTGTAGGGGATCAACCTACTTTTTAATATCGATCAGGGTTTATTAGCTCATTTCAATGAGTCGGATCCTGAAGATTCGAATCATTGATTCGACTCAATTGAATCAGATTAAAAGATTCAAACTTTATCTACCATTTGTCCTGCAAATAGAAGACCTCGTATCTTACCAATATTGTTAATATTATTTACATGGCCAACGATAACAAAACACGGTATTGGCTTAACTTTTAGCAAGGTAACAAGAACTACAACTCAAGGCAATGACCTAGAAGCACATAAACAAGAACACAGTTCTTACAAAATGAGAACAAAGATTTATTGAGCTACACTACGATACATGAAACTAACTACGTAATACGCAAACAACAAACAAATGCACACACAATCACTCACACACAAAGAGAGACAGTTCACAGGATGCAAAATGAGTTGACAACGTCCCAAATTAATTATAATACTTCTTGCAAGATCTTAGAATAACACCTGAGAAACCACAAAAGCAGAGATATTATATTTAACTGCTTACGATCAATCTGCACCAATCAGCAAGAGACAACATTAGTTTGTTTTACTTGTGCCCATTTTGCCGAAGTCGAATCTCCCTCGTCGGCTGGCCTTGGGGAAACATGGTGCTCCTGATTGGGTGTTGACTCGCTTAGATGACGTCTTTGGGATTCACACGCTCGTGAATGGCTGTTGTCCTGGGTTACCGAGGTGACGGACTGCTGAGAGTCAGTTTGCGGAAATTCGAGCAGTTTCAGGTTAAAGTCAATAAGATGGCAGGTCTTGACATGAGGACTACCGAGTAACCACTGGTCCTGGGGTAGCTAGCACAACAACTTTCATATACCCATTAAGGAGTAATGCAGGCATCCAATCAGGATTTACCACATACTCCAATCTGGAGCCATGGGATCATCACACTGTAGTAATATTGTAAAACTGAATACCTGTCGCTCTGCCTAAATCATCAAATATTCATCAAGTTTGTATTCTACTCAAAAAAGTAAATGTAGTAAACCAGAAAAAATCTTGAATCTAAAGGTAAAGAAACTTTACTAATAAAAGATTCAACACAGGACAATTGAATGGGCTTTCTAAACTTGAGGCCCTGGTATACTGCAAACTACCGGTCCTGGAGTAGTGATGGGTCGTTCATGAACGATTAGTTCATTTAGAACGAATCTTCAATATGACTCGGGAACTACGAGTCCTCTCAGGGAGTGATTCGTTCATCCGCACGTGCGTACATTTGTGCAGGTGGTATCGTTAATTTCAAGTCTTCACATTGGCAGAAGCCAATCATACGCGTTTTAGAGTCGGAAAAGAATTGATCCGTTCATCTCTCGAGTCCTCTATCAGGTCTGAGTCACTCGTTCATCACGGGCCAATTATATGCGTTTAGAGCCGGAAAAAGAATTGAACCGCTCATCTCTCGACTCCTCGAGTTTGAGTCATTCTATCACGTAAACAACGAACGATCATGGCTCCTATCGGCTCAGACTGTGCATTGGTTAAGATTATATGTGACTGTCAGTGTAACGTGAATGAACCCCTGACATTTGAAGACATGAAGAGGTGAGCTGAGCAAGGAGACAACAATACCTTCATAGACAAAAGAGCAGGTAAACATTGAATTATTTTCTCCTTATAGTATTTTAGTTATGACATATTTGTCGTGTGATCAACCTTTTGGGCTAGTTGTAGATGTGTTTGGAAGCAATTCGTAACATTTTAATAATATTTTGCCAAATTGAACCAAATGAACGAAATGACTCGAAAAAAGATTCGTTCATCTTCATGAACAAGACTCAAAGAACCGAGTCAGTAAAATGATCTGAACTTCCCATCACTATCCTGGAGCTCCACCTTCATTGATGTGCGGTGTCTTCCCAGGGATGTTTCTCATTCAGGGAGTCAGACGGAGAACATCACCCAAAACAACACTAGCTACATGAATACACTGGAGAGTAGAGTACAGATGTATCCGCACCAGTACAATCACTTGCAAAGAGAGATTTTAAGCCGCAGAGGTGCTGTTTGCCAGATGTTTATGAAACTGTTCTTCTCTCAGTCGTCATCATTGTGTTTACGGTAAACGCGAGGAGTGCAACACATTTACAACCCCACATACTGCAGTGTAGGAGTGTTGGAAAACAGTATACAGTCACTCAGCCTTTTCAAACATTATTCAAACATCAAACATCCTGTGCACATGAGAAAATGTTGTGCTGCATTCATGTCATGTGTGCAACTTTTTGTCCAATTCTGTAGACACTGATCAGATCTGTACGGTTTCTCTCCAGTGTGAACAAACAAGATGATTAGACATTTTAAAAAAGTGAGCGATTGGTACATTTTTTAAAATTTCTGTCCAGAGAGGTCATGTTTTGATCTTCGATTGGTCTCACACAGTCAAGTGATGCGATTTTGCAGGTCAGAGTTCACCAAGCTTGAACTTTGCAACGCAGTGAACTGCGAAACTTGACGCACAATTGTCTCCGATCTGACACATTTGCGTGCATATGAAAGGAAGTCTATGTGGAGAAAAGTCCAGTGTGACCGCGGCTCATGTGCAAGTGAATGGTTTCTCTCTGGTATGAATCCTCATGTGTCGATTAAGGTTTGACGCGCAGGTAAAACTCTTCTCACACTGAGTGCATGTGAATGGTTTCTCTCCAGTGTGAATCCTCATGTGCTCCTTAAGTGATGATGATTGGCTGAAACTCTTCCAACACTGAGTGCATGTGTATGGTTTCTCTCCAGTGTGGTTCCTCATGTGTCGATAAAGGGATGATGAAATCCTAAAACTCTTCCCACACTGAGTGCATGTGAATGGTCTCTCTCCAGTGTGGATCCTCATGTGTATATTAAGGGTTGTTGATTGGCTGAAACCATTCCCACACTGAGTGCATGTGAATGGTTTCTCTCCGGTGTGGATCCTCATGTGTCCATTAAGGTGTTCTGATCGGTTGAAACTCTTCCCACACTGAGGGCATGTGAATGGTTTCTCTCCGGTGTGGGTCCTTATGTGTTCATTAAGGTGTGACGAGTAACTGAAACTCTTTCCACACTGAGTGCATGTGAATGGTTTCTCTCCAGTGTGGATCTTCATGTGATTATTAAGGGATGATGAGCGGCTGAAACTCTTCCCACACTGAGTGCATGTGAATGGTTTCTCTCCAGTGTGGCTCCTCATGTGAATCTTAAGAATGTATTTTCTTCCAAAACTCTTTTCACACTGAGTGCAGGTGAAACGATTTCTGTCTCTCCTTTTAAAAATACAAGTCTGTAAATAATTTTTTCCCTTCATTTTGACATGATGTTCCTCCTCTTTACTCCCCTCATTCTCTTCAATTATGTCTGAAATAAATAAAACATTAGTTTTCATTAAGTCTTAAAACTCTCATCAAAAGCTGAAAAGTGAAAAGACAATGGAAACATTGGCTACTGTAACTTTGATGCACATTAAATGTAAAATAAATCAGATCATATTATGTTTGGTCCATTAACGTGTACACTTTTAAGCAGATTCAAATCATCTTTATCTAGTGCTTTTACAATGTAAATTGAGTCAAAGCCGCTTAACATTGAAGTTATAGTAAATTGAAACCGTGTCAGTTGAGTTTTACAAATTTTTCATAAAAGTCATTTTGGTCATATTGATAAGACACAAATTCGAAAGCTGTAAATGGCCTATTTTTATTCATATACATTCATAATTACTAAATGTTTTTCTAACATTTGTAAAGCAGACAGGGAATACTTGTTCATTTTGTGCCTGACTGGTAAACGCATCAGAAAAAAACGTTCTGAGGTAACAGCCGAACAAACAGCTGAATATTTACCTCTCAGACATGAGACATACCAGTACAGCAACTGCATAAAGGGCAGCTGAGTTCTGGACCAACTGAAGCTTACGGAGAGATTTATGAGCGAAACCAAAAAGAAGAGAGTTACAGTAATCTAAACTAGATGTGACAAGGCTATGAACGAGAACAGCAGTGGCATAAGGGGTAAAAGAAGGGCAGAGTCTGTTAATGTTGCGTGGGTGGAAGTAAGCAGACCGGGTGATGTTATTGATGTGAGAATCAAAAGATAGGGTGCTGTCAAGGATGACACCCAGACTCTTAACTTGTTTAGAGGGATAGATGGAACAATCGTCAATTGAAAGAGAAAAGCTGTCAGTTTTGGAGAGTGTTGGTTTGGTACCAACAAGCAAAACCTTAATTTTTTAACTACTTAGGGTGCTTTCACACCTACACTTTTGTTTCGGAACGTATCTCGTTTGCCCAGTTAGCGCGGTTCGTTTGGCATATGTGAACAGGGCAATCGCGCTCTGTTCCGCGCCAAAGTAATCGCTCCGAGATCGATTGAATGAGGTGGTCTCGGCTCGATTGAAACGAACCCTGGAGCGGTTCGATTGCAGTGAGAAAGCGATCCGAGCGCGGTTATATCACAGTGTTTTATGGATATGTAATAGGCATACGGCTATATGAAGATAGAATTATGAGTATGGCGGGAAGTTTCGCGACTCTCCGGATGCCCGCAAAAGAGTGATGATCTCCCGGTAATCTCGCGTCTCCCTCCTGGTCCTCAAATAGGCATCGTCGCGCACCCTTCACACCCCTCCCCACCGCATCTCTCCTCAGACACATCACGCGCCCACCCTGTCAATCACCACCAAACCACCACCTCTCCTGACAGCTGAGCGGGACGCTGCAAAATAAACCCTGACACTCTGACCAATGTAAGGAGAGTTTACTCGCACGTGACTTGTTTTAGCTCTTTGGTCCGATTAGAAACTTTGCAGTGTGAAAGCGAACCGCTCCAAGAGCAAAGAGCAACAATGTAACATTTGTAATCTCTGTTTCGGAACAACTGAATCGATTCACAGGTGTGAAAGCACCCTTAGTTTGAGGTAGTTAAGAGTTAAGGTAGACTGTAAGGGATGTAGGTGGAAAACAAGAAGAGGGTTTGCCAGAGAGATAAAGCTGGGTGTCATCCACATAGCAGAGGAACTGTATGTTATATTTACGGAGAATATTACCAAGTGGAAGGAGATAGATGATAAAAAGCAGGGGCCCCAGGACTGAGCCCTGGGGAACACCTGTAGAAACTGTAAAATGCTGAGAAGTGAATGATTTGAGTTGAATGAGCTGAGTGCAGCCAGAGAGATAAGATTTAAATCAGTCAAGTGGGGTATTGATGATGCCAAGAGTGGATAGTCTATTGATGAGGGTGCTGTGACAAATAGTGTCAAAGGCTGCACTCAGGTCGAGGAGAATGAGAATAGATATTAGTCCAGAATCAGCTGCCATAAGAAGGTCATTGGTGATCTTAACCAGGGCAGTTTCTGTGCTGTGGAGTGGGCAGAAACCAGACTGGAACTGTTCATACAGGTTGTTCTGAGATAAGTGGGTTTGGAGTTGTGTTGCTACAATTTTTTCAAGGATTTTAGAAATAAATGGTAGGTTAGAAATAGGTCGTAAATTATTAAAAATTACATGGGTCTGAACCAGGTTTTTTTTGAGTATTGGAGTAATTGCTGCAGTTTTGAAGGAAGCAGGAACAGTTCCAGTAGAAAGAGAAGAGTGAGAAATGGCTGAAATGAGAGGGATGAGGGAAGGGAGACAGGCTTTAACCAGAACAGTGGGGAGAGGTTTTAAATGAGAGGAAGATGACTAAAGGCTCCTACACACCGGGACGTTTTTAGTTTGCGTTTATCGTCAGCGTTTTACGAGACGTTTTTCAGTGTTCAATCCCAAGCGCTTTTTACTGGCTTCAAGCAGACGAGTATGCTAAATCACTCTTTTGACGTTAGATGGCGCTACACAACTATAAGCTTCTGACACCCGTTTATAACACAGAAGAAGTGGAGGAGCGGACATTCACACGCTTGTTGCTAAATTTACTGGTGACTCGAACAAGCATGGATGGTTCAAGCAGCAGCTCCTGCTCTAGTGATGAAGAAATGATTAGTGTTCACAGAGCAATAAGCAGCTCAACGTTCATATCGCCTCTGGGCATCTTCTTCAATGTGCGCTCGCATTGACAGTTTTGTGCTTGAGCGCCTCCAGGTGCTGTTTACTGTAACTTCAGCAGCTCCGTGCAAGTGAACTAAAGTGCAGATCTGATTAGTGGAGAAGGTTTTGACGCCGTGCGCCAAAACAAAAAAACGCAAATCAACGAGGGCATTTTTCGCGTTGGTGTGCACAATCACATTGACGCCCTTTATTTAGTCACGAGGCGTTAAACGTCGACGGGAAACGCAAAAAAAAACGTCTCGATGTGCACGGGCCTTTAGATTTGGAAATAAGATTAGAAATTTCTGAAGTTGTAGGGAGTTGAAAAGAGGAGAATAAAATTTCAAATTGTGGAAGTTCAGATGTGATGTTTGGAAAGGATTGTGAACCAAGATGCTGGTGAATATTAAAGATGTTTTAGTTAAAAAAGGTCATGTACTGTACTTGCGTACTAAAAGGCAGTATTCTCCGATAAACTTTTAATGTGCTGCATCGTTACTCGTTACTAGGGCTGTCAAAATGATCGATATTGGTTCAGTAATGGATCATAACCGGTTATTACGTGCTAACGTCATTCATCTCCTATGCGCGATGTCGCAATACTAGGACTTCATCTCTGCCTCTCTCACTTTGTACATTTGACCTGTTGCGCTGGATTTCCTCTCCTCTTATCTGTTTAAGCGATAATATTGGATCCAGGCACGAGCGTGCCATTGGTGCGAGTTTTTTCCACTGTGTCTATTATGGATTACCTGTGATAACCGCGTATTATTTGTGTTAAAGTACTGGCACTCTTGCTCATTGTATTAATATTAATCACTGAAGGGTTCATAATTATGTTTCAGTTATTACGGTACTGTAGCGATGACGTCATGTTGTTTACGTGTTTAACGTCTAGGGCTGCAACTAACGATTATTTTAATAATCGATTAATCTGTTGATTATTTTTTAGATTAATCAAATTTAAAAAAACAAGAAAAGCCTTAATTTCCAACCCTTTATTCAAAAAAGATTATGCCTGAGCTGTTATAATAATAATAATAATAATAATAATAATAATAATAAACTGTTTTTAATCCAAATATCTAAATGTTTTTAAATGAAGATACATACTAGACACATGAAATAGCATAAGAACTCACTTAACCTCAAAATTTAATGATAGTTTGCTTAAAACAAGCTAAATTATTTGCCAATGGGGTGAGAAAACTTATCTAAATAAGATATAATCTCAAACAGCATCACTTTGTTTACTCATGCCATTTTTCTTGTCTGGTCTTGATGTAAGATTTTTTTAGATATTTGAACTGGAAACGAGACAAAATGACTAAGAAGAAAAGTTTTCTGCAGTGCAGCTATACATAAATACAGATAGAAAAATGAAGGATCCAGAAAAATAACATTCACACACTTGCTCATCATGCCATCAACTACCTGATATTCCAATTCACATAAACGTGTAAGTGATCATGATTTATAACGTGAGATGGACGTCTCCATGTTTACTTGCGGCCGCTGCCTCATTCATAAAAGCAGAACACGCAGGATTCAGCAGGTACATTCATTCATCAAGTTACTCCCAAAATACATGCAAGTAAGTGGCTGGTGAACTTAGAGAAGCGTAGATTCAACTTTATAGTTACTTTCATAATGTGTAATGCGTATCTGATATGAATAAACACATCGGCAAATTATATTTGAATGGATTGTTAGACTTTCTTGTGTGTTTTACAAACTCTAAATGTATTGTTTTACTAGTACTTGTGTGTATTTACATATTTAAAACATAAATGAAGTATTAGGCAGTTAAAATGCTGCATAATTGTGATAATATGACACGTCTTTTAGCGGAGTCTAGTTGGTTTTGTTTTCGAAAAAAAAAGCAGCACTTTTCCTACAGTCCCTTACTGAGAGCTCTCCTCAGCGCAAGCTCTTTGGCTCAGCGCATATTGCAACTGCTTAAACGGAGCAGTGCTCGTAATATCGAGCAAAAAAAATAAATAAAAAAGACAGCTGTGAAACATAACCTGCTTTGTCTTTTTGTAGTAGTTTAGATCTTTTTAGGGTAAGAGTTTTATGTGTTAATGCCGTCTATCAGTGTCAGGAATACCGAAAACAAAACCTGCTCAACCCCGCTGTCTTTCTCTGGCTCAGCGCCAGACACAAAGAAACCAGCACCAGGGACTTTGTAGAATTCTGTAGTGATTCT